AATTTTTTTTTCCTATGTTTGTCCCTCTGCCCTGTCTCACTCTCCCATTACAATATCCCTGCTATATACAGTTGTCTTCCAGAAGAGTTACTGAAAAAGTGATACATACAAGTAAAGGGAGAGAGGCCACGAGTTCCAACCATCAGCTCATAAAGTTTTTGGCAATAGGGAGCATAAACTCCACTCAGGGTTGGATTAAGGGAGGGTCTCCTGCAGATCCACAAGTGTAGGTGAGTCTCCAGGGAATGCAGTTTCAGGAAAGCAGTTCTGGTACGCAGGGATGATTATCAGCTGATGCGGCACAGCAGTCATCTTGTAGTTACCAGGAATGGTGTTGTGGGCATCTGCAGTGTGAGTTGTCCTTGGGTATCTGGCTTCCTTAAGAATGGCAGAGTAGTTCTTGTTTTCCCCTGAGGTAATGCAGGGCTGGTAACCGTCATCTTCTCAAGTTGCAAGCTCTTCAACCTTGTTTACGGCCTCCGGGCCATCCAGCGCTGGAGAGGCCAGGGATGCTGGGCAGGGGCGTAAGCCCCCAGCTGCGCAGGGGGCGTGAGCCCCCAGGCCTCGGGGCCCCTTGCCTTTCGAAGCATCTTTTGTGCAAACTTCTTTCTCAGGCACTTGATCTTCAGCTCCATAAAATTCTTTCACTTTTTCTTAAGGGTTTCTGGCTTAGTAGTAACTCTTTTCTTGGTGGCTTCTGCTGCAGCAGGAACCCTCTTTTTCTTCTCTTGAATGCCCTCCATGGTTCCAGCTGGAAAACAATAACCTCACATTTTAAACAGCTTCCTTGTGATGTATTTCCAAAGTTTTTAGTATCTTGATATCGTATACCTACCCTCTAACCTCAAGAGTTTCATCTAGGGACCAACAGTCACTGTAATGGCTATGTCGCTGGACTCCCATGTAGTTGACCACAGTTCGTGTTCTGGACCCGGTGGCTTAAAACTCACGCCAGGAGCGTGTGCGTGTGTGCACAAGATCCCGAGAGGAGAATGGAAGAGAAGAGATTGCAGCGTAGCCATCCTCCCGGGGGGCGATTTCTTGCTTTCTATCTCTCTGTCTGTCTGTCTGGCGAGCACACGCACCCTATAGCAAAAACCTCTCTCTAAAAAAAAAGTTTCATCTAGAGCCATTTAATGCAATTTAAAATAAAAACAAAAAGAACAAGTTATTTACTTACACCTTCTACTATGCCACAGAGCCAGCCCAATTCCACTCATTTGTAGATAGTATAAATTTAAAAACATTTTTTTGAGTGCTCTTTGCATATCAAGGATAATCCCTTTTTGATATGTGCTTCAAATGCATTTCTTCCAGTCCATTGTTTTAAAATACTGGGGCCACCAGATAGTGTGGAGATTGGAGTGCCGAACTCCCACATGGTCAAGAGTGGGTTAGTCCAGACCAGCGAGAATCTCATACAGGGCCCATGTGCATGCCTGCCCCAAATTCCAGTAGACTCATGTGGCCATTCCCCAGGAGTGATTTCTCACTATCTCCCTCTCTGTTCCCCACCTCCAATCCCAAAGGCTGGCGACCTACAGCCAAAATCTTAATTTTTGTTGTTGTTGTTCTGCATGTCCTTTGCAAAGCAGAGGCCCCACATTTCAGAAATCATTTTTGCTATCTTCCTTACTCTAGGGATGTGGCAACCCCGACACTCCTGGCTGGTGTCTTTGTGCGCTCTTTGTTCGCACAAGGGATTTTCAAGCTACTCTGAATTTACTTTTGCTCAGGAGGCTGCTCTACCCCACAGCAGCTGACAGTCACCCTGCAACTGCCCCCAGGCCCAGGCTGGATGACCCTCTTTTCCCCGGGCAGGTGCCCCAGTGTCCCCCCGCTCCCCCATGCTGGGCATGTCTCGCAGAGGCCCAGGCGCTTTTCTGGCTGCGCCCTGGCTTAGGGCAGCGTCGCACGACGAGCATGAGAGGGTCCTCACCCCGCAGCTCCTGGGCTCCATCCTGAGGCCCTAGCGCTGAAGTTGGTCCTTCTTGGTGGGTTAGGGGTGGAAATGTGGGATTGCCCAGAAGCCCCGCCCCCTGGAGGTGCTGGCGGTCCCCTCAGCAGGGTGTCCTCCATGTCTGCTCAGCTGCCACTCTGAAAGCAAGGACGGTGTAGGGCCTCAGCATCGGGGCTCTCAAACAGCACTGTCACTGTTCGCTGGATTGCTGTGCTTTGATTTGCTAAAGCCAAATTGTTTTGAATAGACTTTGAAGGATGGTCCTAAAGTTAGGTTAAGAAACAAGAACATTTTTTATTCTCTCTCTTTCTAGCAAGAGTGATAGGGCCGCAGCTGGGATCAGGGTCTTAAGCTTCCACTTCACAAAGACCTTTTTTTTTTTTTTTTTTTGCTGTATACTCTGGCTAGAGACAGAGAGGGAAAGTGAGGACTCACCCTTTGGGAAGTGGCCGCGCTGCAATCCCTTCCCCTCCAGGCTCCTCTTGGGGTTTTGGACATACACGCATGTGCCTGGTGTGATGTTCGATCCGCTGAGTCTCAGGCTCAGACCATGGTCGCCAGTGTGGGAATCCAGTGCCCTAAGCACCACGCCACCCGCAAGACCCCAAAAAGGTATGTTTTGCCGATACATGTTCACTACAGAAATCTCAGAAGTTACGAAAACTGCGTAGGACTGCAAGGCCTCGGGGTCCGCACTCGGCCCCGGCACCTCTGGTCCCCGAACCTCCTCTCTGAGGTCCTTCCTGTAGTGTCTGTGTCACACAGTTTCTTATTTTATAAAATGCGCTGTTCACCCCTTTAGAGACCTGCTTTATAAACTCTACACATCTTGAACGTTGTTCTTAAAAAGGAAAACCACGACACGATATTGATGAGTTAAACTGTTCTGTCTGAAATGTGTCTTATCCCCTGCTGTTGGAATACCTTCTCATCTCCGGCTCAGCCTTCTCCAACAGGAAAACAGCTAACTTCGCTAAGGAGAGTTAGTGGTGGGGAAGCTGTTACCGCTGCGACAACACTGACACACCCTTGTGATGCGATAGGTAGTGGACTGCCATAGTCCTTTTTGTCAAGAAAGTGTTTCTACCCTAACCCAATAGTTCGGATCTAGGTCACTAACTAGGCACTTGGTAGGGCCACTCTGCCTATGCTGGCTATTCCTGCAGCTGGACTAAGTCACGAGACGAGATGCATGCCAGGTGGGGGGTGATGGTGTACTCCAGGTGCACTTTAGTGGAAGACTTTGTGGGACTTTACGAAGTGACGCTTTCCAGTGGTAGCTATCAGATAAGCTTTTTGGGAGTATTTCTTCTGGTCTGTTTATCTGTTACGGGATTTTGAATGGACAGGTGCCTAGAAACTGATGGGCTAGGACGGAAATGTAGATAGATGTGTGTATTCACACATTCCCACATGGGCTCACACGTGGGAGGGTACTGCCATGTCAGTGTCTCACTCAGTGGCCTGCGTTCATGTTCCACTGACTGGGAAAGGCATCTCTGTGTCCTACCAGCAAGGATCCAGGGTCCTTCCCACCTGGAACTCGAGCTTAGGTGTCTTAAGTGCACAGTAATCTCCGAAGGGCTGCGTGCTCCTGGGATTTTCAGACAAGAGACACTGCAACAATGGCACGCAAGGGCAGCCCTTGCAGCCCATCACAAGCTCCCTCCCAGAGCAAGGGCCTTCTCAGCTGACTGGCCTTTCCTTTCGCTGTCCCACCCCAGCAGAATGAATCACAAGGAGTTCCTGCTGCCCTCCAGGTGCTCGAGTCTCAGCTTGGCCACCACCACGTCCCCTGAGAGTTCTCCGGTGCCAGAGGTAAGCCCAGAGCTGCTGGTCCCCACACCTCCCAAGAGGGTAAGGGCTGCCTTCAGGCTCCCTCCTTCCCAACAGAGCTCCTGACTGTACGTGCATGCGCGTGCGGCCAGCTGAGGTATTTACGGGGCTTAGCCTGTCTGGGCTGCTGTAACAGAACGCTGCAGACAGGCTAACTCAGGCAGAGCCCCTGGACTGTTGATAGCCCTGGACTAGGGAGTCCAGGATCATGGGGCCGGCAGGGCTGGGGGTGGGAGGACCCTCCTCCTGGCTTACAGGCGATTCCTCCTCCAGGACAGAGAGCTGAGTGTGAGGTCAGACTCGCACACCTGTTCTGTGAGAGACCAGTTACATGTGGGGGCTGCATGCTCATCCCAGAGCCCCACCCCCGGCCCTATCACCCCACGGGATAGACCTCCGTGGGCCTGGCAGGACACAAACAGTCTATAGCAATAGGGCCTGCAGGGAGCTGCCCACTGTGCTGTGGGGTAGACGTGGGGGCGTGAGGAGCCGCGGAAGGAGAAGCAGGTGCTGGGGAGGGTGGGCATCTGCCTGTGCTGGGTGTGGCATTGACGTGCCCCAAGCAGAGCAGGGCAGCCATGGGGCAAAGGGCCGGCCCCATGGCAGCGCGATGGACACCAGGTCCTGGGCTTGCTGCTCTGCTCCGTCCGGTCCGCCGCGGTTCTCTTCGTGTGAAGCTTTCATGACACAATGTTGGGGGGTAGCTGGGGACTAAAGACTGTGGGTGTGTAAGGGATGGTCACGAGACGGTGCGTGGGTGTGCGTGCGACACACAAGGGGTCAAGGCAGATAAGACATGGCCGGACGAGCGGATGACACGCAGAGGTGGCCCAGGCCGAGGTGCGCAGGGCAGGGCCCACATGTTGAGGATGATGGGGGACGTGTGGAGACCCTGCATCAGCCTGGAGGGGAGCAGCGAGCGTGCAGCGCGGTCGGCTGAAGGGACTGGGCCTGCCTTCCTGAAGTGGCTGTGCCCATCTTCAAGTCCCCTGAGTGGAGCACCGCCAACCAGGGAAGGCAGAGCTGGCCGGGAGTTCGGGGCCACGTCCCCAGGATGGCATGCTCGGCAGAGCTGTGAGAGACCGACTGGCACCACAGTGTGCTGGGCCTTGGCAGCAACCGGCCCAAGTTCCAGGCCACAGAGGAACTTAGGGGTCCTGTAGCCGCAGGAAGTGCTGTAGCCCTCTCTGAGCGCCCCTGAGGAGGAGGGCTGTGGCCTGTGGCTGAGGGCCGTGCCACAGCTCTGTGCCCTCTCTGCTGGGACCTCCAGTGGGAAGTGGCACCAGCCGGAGCCCCAGCTTGGAGCCAACTCACTGCTGACCGCGGGTGACCGGTTTTCTGAACTTGCCCGCATTTTGTTGCCTTCCGGTGACGGAAGAAGCAGTGCCACCCAGGATGAGAGCAGGTCCTGGCAGGGCCGTGCCTGCCCCCATGGCGTTTTGAACCTGGACACCCACTGACATCTTCATTCTGTTTCTTTCTCTTTCTTCCTCCCTCTCTTTCTTTCTCTTTCTCTCTCTTTCTTTCTTTCTTTCTTTCTTTCTTTCTTTCTTTCTTTCTTTCTTTCTTTCTTTCTTTTTCTTTCTTTTTTTTAATAAAATAACTTTTAAAAGTTTCTCTTTGAATTTACTTCTCTAGGAATCTCTGTGTGTTCCTGAAAGTCCATACACAGGATGCTTTTGCAGGTGCCGGGTGGGAACCCTGGGACCTCGTCCCTCTCACGTCACGCTGAGCAGCCAGGGTCTGCCCACCAGGCGTCAGGTGTCACAGTGTGGGCTTTGATTTCCGCGACTGCCCTGTCCCGCAGCACCTCCGGCCTCCCCTCTGCTGAGGGTGGCTCGGATGCTTCCAGGGTTCTGCTCCCAAACTCTCTCGAGCATGACCTGCTGGTGTGTGTACAGGGTGTGTCGCATGCTCACGCCTCGTACTGGGACTGCTGGAAACCTGGACAGTCAGCCAGGTTCGGTGCTGCGGTCCTGTCCTCTCAGACACAGGGGTACAGCCGAGTGGTGGGCTGGCAGCCCTCCGCACCTCTGGGGCCCCAGTGCCTGCTTCTGGGGACTCTGGACTCCTCCTGGCTTGCCCGAGCTCTGCCTCCCAGGACGCGCTCGCTCGTGGCCTCAGCGGGCTTCCCCAGGAGCTTGCGCCTTCCCTGCGGGTGTCCCGAGCTCTTCATTCCTGATACGATCCTCTTCCAGCGGGTGAGCTGCAGACGGCATGTTGGCCACTCCACACTTCACGGGCTGTGTCCTGCGCTGACCAGGCCGGAGCACCAGTGGGTCCTGTTCATTCCCGTTGTACACAGGCCGTCCAGCGGGTATCCGGCAGACAACCCTCGGTCCTTTCTACCGAGAGTGTTAAGTTTTGATTTGGAAAGCTAAGCTCCAACCGGACCCCGAGGCCCTCTGTCGTTCCTGGCACCATCATGCACAGTCCTCCCCGACCTGCCCCGTGGCCGAGCTCCATGCAGCACACACGTGGCCTGCTCCAGGCTCTCCCATCATCCCCTTTGGTCGTCTGTCCCCCATGGATGCCTGCCGTCTTTCTGCACACTTGAATCTGTTCAGATGAGCAAGCGCCCCTCCAGGGAGGGTCCCGGCCGCTCAGTGTGGCCCTCACCAGCCCTTCTCTCCTTCTGGGGAAGAGGCTGCTGCTGGGCCAGCAGTCACGTGTGCTCCCAGCCCGCCTCACCCCATGTGCTGCTCCCCCCCTCGCTCTCCCCTCTGCCCCTGTTCAGGCATTTCATGGGACGGCCTTCCTCCCTGCCCTGGTCAGCCTGGCCCACTGCGCCCCTCCTCCCCGGCTCGCCACATCTCGCTGCTCATTCCGTGTGTTTCTGGTGTCAGTCTACGCGTTTGCCTGGGCCTGGCCACCTCTCTTTCCTGTTCCTGCTTGAGTCCTGGTAATCAGTGTGCTTCCAGTAAGTGTTCCATTCCGTCCACACTGCGGTTTGTTCACACACACTGCTTCTAGTTCTCTCTTACAATCCTTTTTTTTTTTTTCTGAAAAGAAGTAGTAATGTTGCAGCTTTCATTTCTGAGTCAGTTATAGAAGTGTTCTCTGTGACATTTTTCTCGGTATTCTAGTTAGAGTGGTCAGTTTTGCTGCTCTTCTCAAATAACCAGCTTTTGATTTTACGTCTTCATACATTGTGTATCCTTTAGCAAAGTTTTCTAATTGCTTCATGTGTCTGCCATTTTAAAAAGGGAAAAAGCGGCATTACCAACCAAACATATGCTGATTTACAGTTACCTACTTTGAAACATCTTCTTTTCCAGTGCTCTTTATTTCTCCTTATGAATTCGTTACTTTTTAGTATCTTCATTTCAGCCTGAAAAACTCCCTTGGTGTTGCTTTTCGGTCAGGGCTGTTGTAAAGAGCCCATTCCGCTTTCTTTCACCAGCTTCTTGTTCATTCTGAATCTCTTCTCCAGTCTCACCAGACAGGCTTGTCAGAGGCAGAGTCAGACTGGCTGTTTGCTGTTGGGGTGCTTTCCTGGTTCAGGGCTCGGCGTGTCGCCCTACTGCCTTCGTGCGTCTGTGGGTCTGACAGAACCCTCGTTTGCGACTGGGCACCTATGCCTGGCTGCTTCCCACACGGACACACAGTCTGGCTCTCGGTGCTCTGCCCGGTGTCTTGGCGGGGACCTTTGCGAATTCATGGCGCTCACTAGACGTGTAGGTTCATCTTTCACCAGACTCGGGACATTTTCAGCCATTGTTTCCATCTCTTCCCCTTGCCCTCCGCCTCCTTCCAGGACCCCACTGAGGCGTGTCCTAGTGCCCCCGCTGTCCTGCCAGCCTTAGGCTCTGCTGGGTTCCCTTCCTTCTTCCTTTCCTGGCCTTGGACTGGACGATTTCGCTTGTCTTCAAGTTAGCAGCTCTTTCCTCTGCTTGTCCAAATCTGCTGAATTCTCACTCCTCTTGTGCTTTCTAGCTGTCGTTTTTTCCGGCTCTCTTAGGATTTCCGCCTCTGTGATCGCTCTGTGTTCACACCTCACTTCCTGACTCACTGAACATCGCTGCCTCCACTCAAATGCCTGCCTTCCTTGGGGTGGTTCTGCCAAAGCCTGTTTTTCCTGTTTCTTCATTAGTCTTATAATATTTTAGGGTTCTTTTGCATATTTCATCTTTTTATTGTCGAGAACTGGATAGTCTGAGAATTAGGATATGATGACCCTCAAAATTGCATCTCCCCACTCCTGAGGGACTGGGTTTTTACTTGGTGAAAGCTGGAGCCAAGTAAAAACTAACACTCGGCAAACGTGTGTCCCTGTCGGTGATGTTCAGCCATTTGGTGACCTGACGGAGGTTCTGGTGAATGTCCAGTGGGTGCCACAGGTGGGGGAGGCTGCCGCCGCCAAGTGGGCCAGAACCCAGCAAGCATTGGTGCTGGCTCTCAGGGCACTGCCTGGCTCCCCATAATGGCGCCCCTGGTTTCTGGAGGGCAAGGTCCTCACCGTCCACCGTGTGCCATCAGCTCCTCCCAGGTGGCTCTTACGGCCGCAGCTGCCACAGGGCGAGGCCACTCCACAGGGAGCAGCAGCCGCCCCTGCTGCTCGCCCTTCCTGTGACAGCGTCCACTGCAGTTCCCGGGCCCTGAAGTAGCTCATTCTGACTGGTCTGAGAGCCAGCGGTCGCTTCAGTGCTGGGACCAGGCTCTGGAGCCCCTCCAGCTCCGCTGCATCCTCAGGCAGACGGCCACGTGCGACCTCAGACGTGCGTCTCCGAGGAACTGACTGCTCCCGTCTTTCCCACAGGTCTTGGCTCCACAGTCCTCCGCCACCTCAGCCTCCACGGTTAGTCACGGCGTCGCCGTCCTTCCCACTCAGGGTTTGATTTTCCCATTAGTCTCGTATTTAAGTCATTTGGGTCGGTCTGGGAAGCCTCTTCTCACCTTCGTCCCATCTCGTCTGTGTGCTGTTCTCGCAGTCCGACACTCCCAGGCGCCTGCCCCTGCGGCTCTGCTCAGAGGCAGCTCCCTTTCTGCCTGGGGCCCAGGTGTGCTCGGTCTGCCTCACCTGGCCAGGTGCCCTCGGGAGCACCCTGCTGTGCCTGCGGCTGAGGCTGGATGGCAGCACCCCTCCCTGTGTCCTGCAGCCCTCCCTCCACCGCCCTCTCCTTCAAGGAGCGGGATTTCCAGACAGTCAGGGACTCCCCATTTCCTTCGAAGTTACATCTTTACCCATTTTTTTTTTTGGGGGGGGGGGGGATTTTCACTGTAGGGCGTGTGCGCTCGCCAGACA